ACAGCCACCTCCTGGTAACCATCTCCCTATGGGACAGCAAGATACCCCCTCCTCGACTCACCCCACTATTTTCCTATTTATGAAAGAATGCTAAGAAGGAGCTGCTAGTGTAGAAGGGGGGAAACATTAAAGAGAAGACAAGGTGGCTTACTGAAAACAATGTGACAAAAGTATTTCTAGGAGAACAGAGTGATCAACAGTGAAAAGTGCTGCGGGTAGGCCAAGTACAATAAGAACTGAGACTTACCCATTGGGTTTGGCAGCATGAGGTCATCTGTGTCTTTGACACCTCCAGATTTCATAGATTAATGGGGGAATCTGATTAAAGCAGGTTTAATGAGAATGATAATGGCAAGATAGACACTGGAAATAAGACTCACAAAATGCTGGGATTCACCTCCACAGTTTTTGATTCTGTACGCCTGGGTGGATCTGATAATTTGCATTTCCAACATCCCAAGTGACGCCATTGCCGATCCACTTTGTGGATCATGAAAATATGGTAATAGGAGGAAAATAATAGTGTATGGGGCCGTGCTGGTAAGTGAACTTGAGAAAATTTCCTTCTATCATTTCAATATTCTCATTGAAGCTTTTTTTTTTTTAAAAAAAAGGTAGTTAATTGGGAGAGAGAGAGGGTGGGAGGGTTGAAGATTTGAGGAGAGAAGAGGGGTATCATATAATCATTTAGTAATGAGAACGTGAGTGGACTAAGAAAATGAAACATATTTTTGGGCCTGTTGGAAGTTGAAGGTCATGAATTGATGGTAAGAGCAATCAGCATTTTTGTGCGTTTTCCTCTAACACCACTTAGTGCAGAGATGGAAGTATAGAGATGGTGGAGAGATGAATTTGACCAGGGTTCAAATGCTGTGGAAAGAGACAAACAAGGGATTGACAGTATTTATAAAGGAGGATTTATAATGATTGAAATGGAATTTATGTTTTGATGAGGACCAAAAGGAAGAGTTTACAACAGCGAGGAACAGCAGATGGGGTAAGGTTAATAGAACGAAGCTTTATTAGAGCAAAAAGATTGCTATATTTTAGAGAATTGAATGCTAGAAACTAAAATTTAGGAGAAATTGCTTTCATTTATCATGGCAAGGTCCAGTTTATGATTACAGGAGTTTGTGGTTGAGGAAGGGTTGAGGTGAAGATTATGGGCAAGAGGAGTTTAATGAGCCAAGAGTCCAGAGACTTGGAAAAAATCATTTATATGGGTATTGAAATTACTAAGATTCAAGATTAGAAGTCGTTTGTGGAGAGTGGTGGTAAGCTGGATGCTAAGGTTTTTGAGAAACAAGGGCTTCACAGTTTTCAGGAAAGATGGAGGAAGAATGGTCTGGAAGTAGCAATGAGAAGCAAAGAGGGAACTTCTGAATCTCCTATCCAGGGTCTGGGGATTGTGGGAGAAAACAACCACTGCTTGAGAGGGCTTGAGGGGCATATGTGTCTAGGGAGACCCAGGTTTCAATTAGAGGAAAAAGACCAACAAAGTTGCTAAGGACATGTTGAGGTGGTTGGGTGTTCTGGAGATGTCTGACCTGAATTCCAGAGGGCACAGTGTAAGTTTTGGGAGTGAGGGATGCCCCTGGGATTGGGACAGAGACAGGGATACAGAGAGTTGTGGGGATTAGAGTAGATAACTGGTCACCTTGGAGTTGGAATTTCTTAGGGTGACTGATTTAAGCCATGGGAAGAACCATAATTTGATGAATCCTGGTGGCCTCATAAAAGAGTGGTGTTGAGTCTAAAGGTTGAGAGGTCATGAGGAGTGGGGCTTGGGACACCCCCTCAGTACATCTGAGTGAGATGTAGAGGCTAGGAAAGGGTGATGTTATGCTGAAGATATGAGATTCTCTCAAGTCTCCTGTAGATAGAATCTTGGATATATGGAGAAGGGATATCTAACCTGGAGTGTGCATACCATAAATTATTTTAACTAGAGGAAATAATCTTGTAAATGTTGCCAGTCTCAGAGAAGAAGAACTCAATTACATGGAGAATGGACACAATTTTTGGAGAAGGTTTGCTCTTTATTTCTGGTATATAAAACATAAAGAAAATGAAATACAAATGTAGAGTAATTATTATTGTCTACCTGTCTCTTAATTAGTTAATTTGGTTTCATTTTTCTGGCTTTTACAGAATGTCTTTTTTTTTTTTTTTTTTGAGACGGAATTTCGCTCTTGTTACCCAGGCTGGAGTGCAATGGCGTGATCTCGGCTCACCTCAACCTCCACCTCCTGGGTTCAGGCAGTTCTCCTGCCTCAGCCTCCTGAGTAGCTGGGATTACAGGCATGCACCACCATGCCCAGCTAATTTTTTGTATTTTTAGTAGAGACAGGGTTTCACCATGTTGACCAGGGTGGTCTTGATCTCTTGACCTCGTGATCCACCCGCCTCAGCCTCCCAAAGTGCTGGGATTACAGGCTTGAGCCACCGCACTCGGCCTGGAATGTCTTTAAAAAGTATTTCTTATTCAAATTGTATCATACTTTGTGCACATGACCATTGAGATTTCTTGGCAGAACCTTGATCCTGATTTATTTCTATAATCCTTAATTTCTCTGGATTTGGTAGCATAAAATTGAATCCAATTAGTATTTATTGAGTGTTTCTGATGTGCACAGTAATTGGGTATCTTTTCTGGGGGAGGAAGAAATCCAACATGCTTGGTAGCTTAAATGAAATTAAAATTTGCTTTGCATTTCTTAGTATTTTTTTCTGCTAATATTTCCAGATAGTGTCAAAAGTACACCCTGAGGTCAGATTTTTATGGCCATTATTAAAATTAATGTTCATAATTTAAGAAAAGACCTGTACGCTTGGAAACCCCCACCTATGCACATTATATTGGTGGTAGGGCAGAACCAATTTTGTAGTTGTAACTAGAAAGTAGAGAATATATAAACATCTTCATTTTCCAGCTACTGCCACATAACTCTGTTCTTCACAGAATAACTGCTGGAAAAATTGTTTTAAACTTACTACCTACATTACTGTCATCTGCTAGTTTCTCTTGCACCTACTCGACGGGGTTATCATCGCAAGCTATACTCTACGTGGAGATCATTAGTGCCCTGGGTTGTCCATTTTTAGTTTATATCTCTATCTTCATGTGAACAATGTTTAGTCCTCATCTTGTTCTGTCACTATGTTAGACTCAGTTGATAATTTCTTCTATGTTGAAATGTTTTCTCCTGTTGCATTCTTGCACCCCTCACTCCCCAGTTTTTTCCTGCTTATCCACTGCCATGTGTTACTGGACTCTTTTGCTGCTACTTCTCCTCTTTCAGATCCGTAAAGTGTTGCTAAAGACCCAGGGCTGAGTCTTTGGTCCTCCTGTCCTCTAACCCACCCCCATCCTTTGAGTGCTCTCATCCAGGCCTGTGGTTCTACAGATTATTATCATGGTGTTTCCCAAATTTTTGTTTCTAGTCCCAAGCTCTCCCTGAACTCTAGAATCACATCTTCAACTATTTGACATCTCCATTTAGATGCCGAGTGGGCACCTCAAAATTATCATGTTTCTAAACTGAATACTGGTGTCTTCTTATCTTCAATTTTCCCTATTTTAATAAGTAAAACCATTATTTATCAGCATGCTCAGGCTCAACCCTTGATGGTTTTTCCCTTTATACCCCAGTTACGTTAATAAATTCTTTTACTCTACTTCTAAAGTACACCCAAACTCCAACCACTTCTAAGCAGTACCTCATCATTGTCACCCTTGTCAAAGCCATCGCCTTGACTGCCACCAAAAGCTTTATAACTTATCTTCTACTCTTATTCTCCTACATCTAATTTGCATATAGAAAACAAAGTGACCTTTTAGATATGCCAATCAGATTGTGTCTCTTTTTATCTTAGAACACTACAGAAGACTTTCCTTCCCATTAACTATAAATACAAAGGCAAGAACCTACATTTCCACTTTGTTTTCTATCACGCTCCCCCTTTTCCATGCACCCCAGCCACACTGGTCTCCTCTCTGTTCCTTGAACATACGGAATATGTTTCTACTGGGATCTTTGCCCTTGCTATGCTCTTTGGATATAATACTTTCCCCCAACATACATACAGGCTTGCTTCATAATTCTACTCAGGTCTCTGTGCAAATGCCTGGATCATCTTATTTAGAAAGCGAATCCCCCTCCTTCATTACTTTCTACCTTTCTACCAGGCTTTCTTATTCTTCTGTCCTGGCTTGCATTCTATTTTCTATTTATCTGTTTATTTTGTTCCTCCCAATGGAATGTAAGCTTTCTGGTATCAGGGTCTTTATTTTATTTCTCTGCTGTGTCTGGGACACCTAGACCATCTAGAACCTAGGAAAAATTAAGTTATTGTCAGTGAGGTAAGTCAAAGTTGCATCTACTTCTGAAAAGAGTTTTGATAATGGTAAGTTTGATAATGGCAGCTGGCCCAAACTTGTTATTTTGTTCTAAGAGTTGTTACAGTCTAAGTAAATACTTTTGATAAGGAAACAGAAAGGAAAATTGGAATATTCTTATATTTTCATGTTTTAAATCTTTTGGTGGTGAGTCAGGCTTGTAATAATTGCTCAATCAATTTTATTTAATAAACTAAGTAAATTAAAAACGAATACAAGTGTATTCATATATATGCACATGATATATGAACATGATATACACCAAGATTACATCACAGATTGCTCTACCTTCAATTTATTTTTTTTGCAAGGACTATGCCATGGGGTCAAAAGTCCTATTTAATGAAGCAAATAAAATACGTTTCACTTTGCATTATTTGTTAGAAAAACATAACATTCTATCTCTATGGCTTCACTCCATTTAAAGGCAAGAAACTTTTTATAATTGAAAGGAAAAAAATGAGTGCTCTTTCATTAACCAAAGACATAAACTCTTACAAATACACTAAAATTTGATTTGATAACCATTTAAAACAAAAATCATCCGCATTTTTCAAACTTTCACATCCTACCACATGATATTCAATTTTAGAGTATTGCATTTTTTTATTCTTGTATTTTTATCCTACCAAGAAATTAGGGTTTGACATTTTTGGACATGAAACTCTATCTTCCCTTTCTCTGGTGATTATGTTAAGCTCGTCTCTTTCCCAGCATTTCACAGAGCAAAAGAGGAGTGTGGACAGAGAAGGCGCTTGGAAAGGGCATAGATCAAGTTGTCAGAAAATGTGGTTTCCAGTCCCCATTTGGCCTCTTAGCCATGTGACCTTGAGCCAAGTACCCAATCTTTGTATGTCTCTAGCTTCTGTATGTATCCATAGTTGGTCTTTGAAATGCCTTTGCTGTGTAAGTCTCTGGATTTATGGAGTTCTCCTTCATTCATTCCACAGTGAGAGTTCCTCTTCAACATTGCACTCCACTGATAAAATCAAGCAAAGTGATTTAAAATCATGTGGAATCCTAGACTTGATTTCTCGTTTCATTACCTCATTATATTACTTAACTGTATTCCTATCCTTGCGTTAAAAAAATAAAATAGTCAGCCGGGCGTGGTGGCTCACGCCTGTAATCCCATCACTTTGGGAGGCCGAGGCGGGTGGATCATGAGGTCAAGAGATTGAGACCATCTTGGCCAACATGGTGAAACCCCGTCTCTACTAAACATACAAAAATTAGCTGGGCATGGTGGCACATGCCTGTAATCCCAGCTACTCAGGAGGCCGAGGCAGGAGAATTGCTTGAACCTGAGAGGCGGAGGTTGCAGTGAGCAGAGATCACTCCACTGCACTCCAGCCTGGCACCTGGCGACAGAGCGAGACTCTGTCTCAAATAAATAAATAAATAAATAAATAAATAAATAAATAAATAAATAAATAGTTCTTATCAGGAAATCACTTAATTTATGTAAGATATAAGTAGCATTCAACCAGAGTTGGTTAATTTTATAAATGAAGATGAATGGAAGAAATGATTTCTTCTGGCTGGATTTAATATGCTGGACTTAATATAGTTCAGAAGATTGTAGGACAAAATAGGTTGTATTCTTACAGCATGCTACTGTACTTAGAGAAGAGCATTTTAAGTTCTGTTTTATAGTAATATGCATTTACATAATACAATTTTTATAAGCATCCAATTTCTTTGAAATCAACTTTATTGAAGTATAATTTATATCAACTATAATGTACACATTTTCAGTATACAGGTCTATGAGTTTGACAAATGTGTAGCCATATGTTAGGCGTTGAATTGTGTCCCCTCCAAAAAAATGATGTATTGAATTCCTAACCCTCAGCACCTCAGAATGTAACCTTACTTGGAGATAGGGTCTTTATAGAGCTAATCAAGTGAAATGAGGCCATTAAGGTGGATCCTGATCCAATAGGACTGATGTCTTTCTGAAAAGGGGAAATTTAGAGATGGAGACGTGCACCTAAGGAGAACGTCATGTGAAGACTGGTGTTATGCTTCCATAAGCCAAGCAGCTACCCAAAGTGAGGAGAAAGGCCTGGATCAGAGTCTTCCTTAGCACCGTCAGAGGGGAACACGGCCCTGCCAACACCTTGGTCTCAGGCTTTTGGTCTCCAGAACTATGACACAAATATTTCTGCTGTTTAAGCCGCTCAGTTTGTGGTAGTTTGCTATGGCAGCATTAAGAAATGGACATACCATGTAACCACTACTCTCTAAATAAGATATAGCCAAGCTCCACCTCCTACTCCAGGCAATTACTAATCTGATTTCTATCACTATAGATTAGTTCTGACTATTGTAAAATTTCATATGGATAGGATTTTGCTATGTGTTCTCTTTTGTGTCTGGTTTCTTTCATTCTGCATACAAGTTTTTGAAATTTATCCATGTTGTTAATTGTGCCAATGGATCATTCATTTTTATTGTCAAATAGTCTCTACTTTCTCCAAGGTGTTGCAGCTCAGTTGATCCTAAGTGGGTGGGTCTATTTCTGGATTATCTATTCTCTTCCTCTACCATTTTGAAACACTATTTTATTGTGTTATTCTAAAATTAATATGAGAATAAATAATTAGTATGCTATCCAAATACATTATAACAAACTGAACTCCAATCCTAAAAGAAATGGTTTGACCCAGTAAGTCAGGAAATCACAACAAGTTAATATCAACACATCAAAGAGGCCATTTGGAGGTATTATTTTGCCTATTTCATGAATCTAAATATTTCAAAATGTTAACATATATTCCAATTATGGGAAGCTCCTTTCTTTTGTTCCATCTCCTCTCATTCCCGTGCTTTACCAAAACCCCTCATGCCTAGGTGCTGAAAGTGATGCATTAGATATTTATTATACAATGTGGAGCTTTTCCTGAGCTTTCATCTCACTTCCATGCAGATAATGACTCCTATATTCAAAAGTCGCTATAAAAATTTTTTAACAGGTGGCACCAGACCTTGGCATTAATGAAATCATTAATTTTATGTTCTCAAACATACTATGCTCATTATATTCAAGTAATTTTAAAACGTATCCCCCATATGTATGCACACTTGTGACTTTTTCTATGCTCTTTCAAATCATTTGAGATGTTCTTTGCTCTGTTATCTACAGGGCCTAACATGGGTTTACATTTCTTCTATAAAGAATTCCTTAACAGTCCTAGCTGACAGTGAATACACACTTGGTTTACTGCACCAAGCACTCTAGAGCGCACATCACCACGGCACGTGTATACCTATGTAACAAACCTGCACCATCTGCACATGTGCCCCAGAACTTAAAGAACACATACCGGGCCCAATGTAAATGTTTGTTGAAAGAGCAAAAGAAATCAGCAACCGCAGCAGTGTGCTATAAGTTAGATTTGGTAACGTTTTTCTTCCCAACTCTAAGTTCTACAAGAATAATGGTTTTATTATCGAGCAGAAAGACCTTTTACATGAAAAGCTAATCTTTAGGATTCAAAAGATAGAATCATTCAAAAATTTATTTTTGAGACAGTCTTGCTCCGTCGCCCAGGCTGCAGTGCAGTGGCGTGATCTTGGCTCACCTCTGCCTCCCAGGTTCAAGTGATTCTCTTGCCTCACCCTCCCGAATAGCTGAGATTACAGGCATGCACCACCACGCCAGGCTAATTTTTGAACTTTTACTAGAGACAGGGTTTCACCATGTTGGCCATGCTGGTCTCGAACTCCTGACCTCAAGCGATCCGCCTGCCTTGGCCTCCCAAAGTGCTGGTATTACAGGTATGAGTCACTATGCCTGGCCCATGTTTTTTTTAATGGGCTTCCATTTAAGAAAATCTCACCTGGCAAAAGTTACAAATAGTCCACTGATTCAAGAGGAGGATGCATGGTGAAAAGTGTCAAGATGTTGCTTCCTGTCTCCTGGATGTGTGATCTGGGGTCAGTAGCTGGAGATGTGATGTCTGTCTGTAAACAGCATAGAACAATTAGAGGCCTTTAAATAGAGAAGGCTGATAGCAGCTGGAGGCTGGACTGGATAAATGAAGGACTGAAAGAGGGAACCAGTTAAAAGAATATTGAAAGAGTTTTGAGTATTTGTATTTATAAAAGGGAACTGGGAATTAAAGAGAGAGAGGCCAGAATGAAAATATATCCAAAGATAAGTTGAGTGAGCAGTTGGATGTAGGGGATGGGGCGGGAGAGAGGATTCCAAGACAATTTAGAATTTCAAATTAAAATTTTGCTAGTATTCCCAATTCTTCTCCATTTCACGTTCCTCTGTCCCTTTCCTTTTCTTAATTATAAAGAAACCCATAAGGCCAGGACAGTGGTGTCAGGATTTGTCTCCATTAGGAGACTTTGACAAATAATAGACACTGTAACTGTATTATGCAGAGATTTAAAATAAGGTATATTTTATAATGTTTCAATGTATAATCAGGTGACTTTAAATTCTATACACAAGGAGAAGTAGACTAATGGGTGGAAAATCAGGTAAATATCACAATTTTGGAGGAAGGACATAGTAAAATGTGCATTGTGAAAGGGTTAAGAAGAGACACAAGGGGAAAAGGCTTTGTAATGTCTTAGGGAATTGAGACAGTTATGCTAATCTTCTGCCCATGATTAGTATGCAGACATTATCTAACAATTGCCCTTAATAAGCAGCATTTCTTTCTTTCATTTTTTGGTTTTGGAGATGGAGTCTTGCTCTGCTGCCCAGGTTGGAGTGCTATGGAGTGATCTCAGCTCACTGCAACCTCCGCCTCCCAGGTTCAAGTAATTCTCTGCCTCAGCCTCCTGAGTAGCTGGGATTCCAGGCGCCCACCACTGTGGCTAATGTTTGTATTTTTAATAGAGATGGGGTTTCACCATGTTGGCCAGGCTGGTCTTGTACTCCTGACCTAGTGTTCCACCCACCTGGGCCTCCCAAAGTGCTGGGATTACAGGCATGAGCCACCACACCCAGCCAATAAGCAGCATTCCTGATGACCTTGATATTCCAAATTTTTTTTGGCTTTTCTGTACTTCCTTATATTTTACAAAGATTGAAAAGATGTTCAATCTGGAAGAGGCATATTTCCTGTGGGTTTAGGTAGAGAAATGAGGAAAAAAAATGAAATAAAAAAGCTTTCTCCTATTATCCTTATGTAGTCATAATGGTAGTGTACATTTCTAGCACTTCATACTCACATTTTACTTTTTTATTTTATATTTGTGATAAGACTGAAAGGCAACATTATTACCCTCACTTTTGCAGATAAAAGATTAAGCCTGAACATTTACATAATGTCTAAGATTTTATAATCTATAAGTGCCTTATCTGTATCTTGACTTTTGGTCTCTCAACTCTTTGTTGAAGGATTCTTATTCCAATGTGTGTTTCAGAAGGGCGAGGGGGTGGGAATCACTGGAGGATTTATAGGAAGACTGTCCTTTTCTAAGACAGTTGCCTCTCCTGTACTCTGTCTCACACATCTGGAATTTAATAACAGTAGTAAGCACTTTTATTCGAAGTGACTTTGGCCAAATTCCATCACCCTCAGACCCTGCAAAAATGTTTAGTAGGTTCCTGCATTGTTCCTTATTGGATTAGTCTTAGATGTGTATGAGTTTACTATTTAAATGTCTGGGTGGTCTCTGCGTAATTTCACATACCTGATCCTTCTGGCACTTGTCAGTGAATGCAGGGACAAGAACTTAGCAATGTGTGCTTTCTGTCAGAAGTTTTAAGAATGAGGTCATAATGGAAAAGCAGAGTGAGTAGGTCCCCCTTTCCATGGTTTCCTTCCTTAGCACTGGTGCGTCACCTTCATGACACCCCTTTAGGTCCCAGTGTGACCTTTTCTTGTCCAGATAGAGCTCAGTTTTTGCCCTGACTCAGCAGGCTGCCACTGTGACATGGGTGGTTCCCTTTGTCTCGCCCTTCTGCTCTGCTGTCCTGTTCCACAGTAGCTGCCAATCCTGCCTCTTCAGCAGTTTCTAGCTCCAGCAGCTCTTGGCTTCTTGCCCCATGACTGCTCTCCTCTTTGTTGCCACTACTTAATTTGCCTCTCTTCCTGTTCTCTGTTCTACTCCAAATTTCCCAATCTGTGTGATGTTCCTTATCCAGGATGTGGTGAGCATGGGTCTTTATGCTTTTTTAAATTTAAGATTTGCCCAGTTTTTGAAACACTTGAATCCTCTCCTCTGATACTGCTCTTGGGGAAACAGCCACCGGACAATACTTGCTATTGGACTTTTCCTCTCCTCCCTACATTTGACTGTGCCTTTTGTGAGGTCTATGTCTTGGCGTAGAATGAGGATCTTACTTTCTTAAATGTTGCAGCATGACTACTTTTAACCTTCTGTCAGGAAGGGAGGGTCTTATTTCCTCACAGAGCTTGTGTTTATTATTCCTTAGCTTGCTACTAAGGATTGCTGAGCTCCAATAGAAAGTGTGAATTCAATTCAAACAATATTCTTGGTTTATCTACTGATTGGCAGCTGACAGGAGATCCGATTCTTATCCCATATCCTCTGAAGACATCATGTGAAGTGGAAGATCCTCTTTTTTTTTTTTTTTTCTGTGAATGCTTTTTTTCATGTGAAAATTATATAATCCATATATGTTAAAAAATTGCATGAAAGTCTAGTTGGGTCATTAAGTATTTGAAGAGAGTCAGAGTGTTAGCAATCTCATTCTCTTTCTGACTTAATCCTTTCTCTAGCCACAGCGCAGCATAGCTGATATCAATGTGGGGAGAGAACCCAAACTACTGCATTAGCACAACTTGCTCCACTACAGGTTTCAGCAATAAATCAAAGCTAAGGGAATCCAATATCAGAAATGTCATGTTTAGGATGATAGGGTCATATCCTAATATTAGTGGGGATGGCCATAGTTTGAGCTGGAACCTCATAGCTCATGTTGGAACCTTCAATAATGCAAGCTAGTGGGAGCATTGGGAAGCCAAGATTGAGAGGAACCAGGGATGGTGGCAAGGGCGGCTGTCAGCACAAATCATGGTGCTCAGAGGTATATGGCCATCTGAGCTTGATCTGGGGTAGCCTAGATTCCCCCTCAGGAGTGGGTGGAGGGTTTGTAACAGGGAAAGAGAGCCCAGTCTAAGGGATGTTTCATGGAAGTTCAGAGAGTAGTAGAACTCTCTATCAGGTGAGAAGTTCAGCTGTTCAAAGGGAATTTTTGACCCTGATCAAGGAATACAAAGACAGTTTACAACACCCATCTGAGAATAGGGGAAAGTTTTGTCAAGGCCATTGCTAAGAGGTCAGAGGGTTATAGCAGGATTTTACACCCAATACAGGAATACATTCTCAGTGAGCTAGTAGCTGGCCAAGGCTCTCCAGGCCCATTAGAAGATAGCTGTTACAGTTCCTTATAGAAGGTCTATCTTGGTTGAAATTGAATCAGTAACTGGGTGGAACTGAATTTTTTCATTCAGGGAACTAATGCCTGCAGGAGAAGGGAGATATGAAGGGAGTGATTGGTCTAATATTGAGGTGAGAAGGGTGACCAGCTGCCTTGGTTTGACTGGACTGTGGGGACTCCTGAGACAAAGGACTTGGAGTTTTAAAACTGGGACAGTCTTGGGAAAACCACAATACGTTGGTCAGCCTATGATGAAAGGTGTTTTATAGTCTTGATCAAATGCCTGGGCAAGTGTTGCTTAAGATTAAATAAGAAAAACAGGCAGGGCGTGGTGGCTCAAGCCTGTAATCACAGCACTTTGGGAGGTCAAGGTGGGTGGATCACGAGGTCAAGAGATCAAAACCATCCTGGTCAACATGGTGAAACCCCGTCTCTACTAAAAATGCAAAAAATTAGCTGGGCATGGTGGCGCGTGCCTGTAATCCCAGCTACTCAGGAGGCTGAGGCAGGAGAATTGCCTGAACCCAGGAGGCGGAGGTTGCAGTGAGCCGAGATCGCACCATTGCACTCCAGCCTGGGTAACAAAAGTGAAACTCCTTCTCAAAAAACAAACAAACAAAAACTGTTTATGTTGATCAAAAATGTGAAATGTAGAGTTGGTAGTAATCTTGGTGAGAAATGAATATTCAATTCTTACTGTACAGATGCATATTCAATGATAGAATCTTAAAATTTCTGAATTGAGAAGAAAGTTGGGTATTATTTAATCTCTCATTGTGTGAATGATAATGTTGAGAGTCAGGAAGATTCAATACATACTAAAGTTGGATTAGCTAATTATGCGCATACATTTTCTGAGTCCACATTCTTTGCTTGTCCTCATGGAGTTTTTTCGGTATCACCTGAAGATTCTTCTTCATTTCTCTTACCACATACATGCTAGTTATTTTCTCAGTTAGATTCAGTAGGCCTGCTTCAGAAGGTTATAGTAAAATCTGCTATAGAACTATAAGGATAGCAAATTGTAATGCTTCTACGACAGTTATTACTATTACCACTAATGACATTGTTGCAATCTTGCCAACACACCATAATGTAGCAGTCCCTCCTTGTGAGTTATCACCTGAAGTTCTTTGTCTCAAAACCAAGAGAATTAAGGAGCATGGACACAAAGGGTGAGGTTGGAGTGAAAGTTTAATATGTGAAAAAATAAAGCTCTCTGCTGTAGAGAGTGGACCTGAAAGAGGGTTGCTGTTTTTACAGTTGATACAAAGGCTTTTATAAGAAACCAATGAAGGACCGGGCGCGGTGGCTCACGCCTGTAATCCCAGCACTTTGGGAGGCCGAGGCAGGTGGATCACGAGGTCAAGAGATCAAGACCATCCTGGTCAACATGGTGAAACCCCGTCTCTACTAAAAATACAAAAAATTAGCTGGGTAGGGTAGCACATGCCTGTAATCCCAGCTACTCAGGAGGCTGAGGCAGGAGAATTGCCTGAACCCAGGAGGCGGAGGTTGCAGTGAGCCGAGATCGTGTCATTGCACTCCAGCCTGGGTAACGAGAGCAAAACTCTGTCTCAAAAAAAAAAAAAAAAAAAAAAGAAAGAAAGAAACCAATGAAGGCTGGACATCTTATTTGCATAAGGCACAATTTCTTGTAGCTCCATCCCATCCTCCTAGTGCATATGTGGGCCCTTAGCTTGAGTTACTTATTCCATATTGCTTTGCTTTTCTTACTGGACATATGTTAGGAAACAGAATTTTCCATTGTGGCCATGTCTGGGCAAGTCACCTGGGTAGCTTTTCTTATCTGTGCAGCTGTGGGCATGTCTCAGGCAAGTATATGTCTTGTGCAAGTTTCCTTAACTGTGCCTGCAGGCTGTTACTTTGTTTGAAAGAATTCAATTAAGGACCCGCCCTAACTGCCTGCCTGACGGTTTTTTTTTCCTTTCTCCTCTCTCAACATCACTGCCATTACCACCATTACTATACTATACAGGGAATAACAGACAATGTTTGTTTCAACCCCATTTCTTAGGTAGGTTGAAATAACAAACACTATGAATTGAAGGAGTCTAGCAGTACTTCTTGGCTACTGATGTCTCTTGGTCATTCCTACTGTAAATCTTTGAGATGAATACTTAGCTCTGGAGTCAGTAAATTTACTCTTTCCTACATGTTGTCATTTTGCTTACTGGCTGGGCTATAAATCATACTCAGGTCACGCATCCCTGGAGTAGTAAAATACTGCATAGTGACGAAACTTCAACCCCAGAAACTGTTACAAGAGGATTCCATATCTACAGAGTGAGTAAGAATGACAAATAAGTCTTTAAACTTCAAAGTGTAAAGGAACAGATCAATTTCAAGTGGAGGGTCAGCTTGTCATTTCTCATTTTGTACTGCCAGGTCCATGATGTCTAGCACACCCAGAGTAGCTCCCTGGGGATTGTCTGCTGCTGAGACTCACAAATAGAAGAAGGATATTCCGAAAAAGTCCATGAATAAGATGTGCTCATGCTTTGAAGCACACTTTCTGGTGAGTACTAGAGAAAAAACAATCCAGGTTCTTCACTCTTTCAAATTAATGCCAGAAGACCATCCTTGAGATAGGTCCTCGGTATGTCATCTGTCTCCCTTCAAGATTGGTTTGAGGATAAACTTGATCCAGACTCCAAATAGAAAATATAAATTTATATTTTGTCTCTTGAACATATACAGTTACCAAATGGAAGCTTAAATAATTAAATGTTATCAGCAATGATTTTGTGAATGGGGGCTGATTTCTTTGCCCAACATAAGGCCCTGACTATTTTGGAATTGAATAAATATTATTTTTTTAAAAAAACTCCTATTGTGCCCAGGAGAGCTATGGATTTTTGGAATGACAAAGAAGGGCAAGAGTTGTTACCAGGGGCCTGAAACTACATATCTGGGACTAAAAATATATTCTCACTTGCTAGAATTGGGTCAAAGGAAGGGAAATTAATGTTTCAAAATGTAACAGTTTATTTCTAGGAGTCCAGAGAATATTTTTGTCAACCACTCCTGAAACTTATTTTGGTATAGCAAATCTTCAGGTAGTCTTAAAGTGTCCCTTTATGAGTAGTAGATAATCCCTATGGGGAATTTTCTCTTTTTTAATTTGGATAATGTCACCTGGATCATGCTTTTATATAAGCACGAAATCAATGTTATATAAGTGGTAATAACCAAGAGTTAGTTTCAAGCTTCAATAAATATAAGGTTTATTAAATGCAAACTAAGTGAAGTTCATTGCTTTTGATACTTAATGAATGTTGAGCCTAAAATAGTCACCATTTTTTTTTTCTGGTATAAAAGACCTTTCATGTACTTGTTGAACAGAATTAAAAATTAGCTTCATGAAAAAAATCAAATTTAGATGGTTAATAAATCTATTATTGGGAAATGGAAGATTGCTTTTTAGAATGGAGTAAGAGTTTTTCTCTATAATATATTGTTTTCAATAAAGGATAAGCTTCTATATTAACTGTTCCTATATTCATTATGAATGAAAACATAATAAAACATATCATGTCAGATTAAGAAGCTCCTGAATCAACCTTCGGAAGACGAAGTGGGGCTTCTGAATAAACTGATTATATTGTGGTAGGGTAATGCCAGCAGGCAGTCTTAATTATGCTTTCTTCTAGCATGTGATGATATATCCTTTGAAATATTTGACCAAACACTTGTGAGAGCAACCAATAGTGCGATTTTTAGGGTAGGTGCATTGCGTGGTGGTTCTTTGCTTTTCCGTTATACATAAAAACACCTAGTTTTGTCCTTTTCTGCAATTTAATCCAACTCAGATTGGATTTGTAATTCTATTAAGACTAAATTTCTATCTAATCGATAAAACACAAAGTAAAAAACAAATATCCTATAGTTTTGTCACGTGCTCACCACCTTCTTTTTGTGGGCACAGTGGTTGAAAATCTTTATATATTTTCTTGTACTGTCACAGCACGTGAGTCAGGCAGATCAAAGCCACCTTGTAGTCTCAGTTTTCCCACGTGTAAAATGAAAAAAAATGTACTTAATACTACTTTTAGAAGGATGCTGCAAAATAAGCAATAAAAATCTGTAATATAAAATATTACAGCCATGTTTATGCACAAAAAGATTCTTGAAAGTTTCTGTTATAAGTCTAGATTATGTGAGTAGAAAATAAAATTCACTAAGTGAACTGGTTATTTGAAATTTCATTGATTTCTCTTCCCACAAAACAGACTTTCACGTCTCATGCTTGCTTAAAGCATAGCAGAAGCCATCAGAAAAGGAAGCCACTATATTTAGAGTAGAACTGATGAGAGGATACAGTTTCCACATGTTCCCCTTCAAGTTGTTCTGCATCTTGAATGAACATAGTTCTCCAGTTAAACATGAGGCAGGAGATTGAGAGGAGACTTGCCCCTTAAGTTAGTAAGTTTCCAGTTCTTAGCCAAGTCCAAGTTCTGCACTTGGAGTTAATCATTCTGATTGGTGACCTAGTCTTGGCAGAGATGTATTTTGCTTTTTACCACAGATAGTTCAACTATCCTGACTCACAGAGAACTTACCAGTATACATCATGTTATGCCCTGTAGAATGCTAGAATATTGTAGTATTCATAATCCTGGTACGCTTTTATCACCATGTTTTCAGGAAAAATTTTAGACTGTGATTAAATGAATATGCTATCCTACAACAAAACAAAACCCCCAATGTGGCATATATATGTGGGTGAGGGGAAAGAGAATTGACCCTGGTCTACTATTGACTATTATACCTAAAACTATATGCTAACTCATATGAATGAGCAGAATATGGCATTGGTAGCTCATAGAACTTACGAAGAGTTGATGTGATTCAAACCTGTTGATAGGCAGAATTATTTTTGTGAATTTGGTAATTAAACATAAATGGGAAGTCCTAAAGACCATGTTTACTTAAATCACAATTTGTATGCTCACTCTATGGTGAATGCAAAAAAGGACATTAGCAGGTGAGGGGGGCGCTGAATTTAAAAATGGTCCTCATAATCTTTGCCTCTGGTATCACTCCCATGATTGTGGTATTTTGTGTGGGAAAATGGAGAGTGTCCGGGTGGGCCTAATCTAATCTTGGGTTATTGAAAGTCAGAGATTTCTTTGGCCGGTAGCAGAAGGAAATGGAAGAGGGATGTGAAGTGTAGGAAGGATTCCAGCTGGGTGTGGTGGCTCATGCCTGTAATCCCAGCACTTTGGGAGGCTGAGGCGCATGGATCATGAGGTCAGGAGTTCAAGACCAGCCTGGTCAAGATGGTGAAACTTTGTCCTATTGAAAATACAAAAAGTATCCTGGCATGTTGGAGGATTCCTGTAATCCCAGCTACTTGGGAGGTGGAGGCAGAGAATTTCTTGACCCTGGGAGGCAGAGGTTGCAGTGAGCTGAGATAGCCACTGTACTCCAGCCTGGGCAACAGAGCGAGACTCCGTCTCAAAAAAAAAAACAAGAAGTATTTAATGTCCTGTCTTTGAAGATGGAGGGGGTCATGTTCAGAGACCAGAGAGCAACCTCTAAGTGCTGAGAGTGATCACTGGCTGACAGCCAGCATTGAAATGAGACATCCACCCTGTGGCTGCCATAGAACTGGATTCCTTCAATCACAGGATCAATTGGATTCTCCTTCAGAGCCTCCAAACAAGGGTCAAGCATGGTCAACATCTTGATTTCCACCTTGGGAGATCTGAAGCAGAGAACCTAGTTGCACCCACCTGGACTTCTGATCTACAGTTCTGTGAGCTAGTAAATAGATATAGTGTTAAGCTGTTAAATCTGTGATAATTTGTTACACAGCATAAAAACTAATACAATGGGGGTAGATCCAATTCTTTAAATGGGCAATACTGTGTTGGACAAAGGACTTGAGAGAAACCTAGAACTTTAAGAAAATGTTAGAAAGTCATCTTATTTCAGCTTTATGTCTCCTAGAAAACAAAAATCAATGATTGGAATTTCCAGTCTGGACTGCATGGAGACTTCTGAAAGTTTTGTGTCATTGCTTCAATAACAGTTCAGCAAGACTGACTTTCATTCCTGTTCACGGATTATACATGTGCAAGAATGAAAAATATAGCTAGTTTTGGTGGCCCAGTTCTTCAAATTTTCCTATTTGGTCATCTTTAGAGACTGACATATGCTCTTCAGCTATCTCTTTGCTTTTAAGGGATTATAACAACTGCTCTTGTAAGTTTACTATCTGTAAATTGCTGAAATTCCACAAGAGGGAAAAAGAGGTAAAAACTAATTCCAGGCAATACAAATCTTGCCAATAGCTGACTAATATGTCAGAGTCCAATATGGCACTAGAAGCACATGGGACTATTTTAAAAAGAAGTCTACCAAAATAAAGGAATTCTTCCCTGAAGTAACCACACAAATCTCCCTGGAATGTTCTTCTGGACCAAGGCTTCTGCATAACATTTCACAGAAAAGGAACATGCCTTTGACTGTTAGTTTCATAGTCTGATGCATGGCACACACTTTTCCACCACTTTTGAGCTATAACCAATTAGAGGGCACCAGAAATAGCTTCTAACCAACAGTTGTGTATTTCAGTATTTTCGACAGATACTGTCTAAAATGTAACCATATAACATGATGATTGCTTTCTGAAATACTGTTTTCTCTATAAAAAGCACTTTTTATGGGGAGATAATCTATGATAAGCTTGAATTTCTTAGGTAATTTCTCAGATGACAACTCTGCCATATGTGTTTTTAAAAAAATCAAATTGTATGACTGGAATCAGCTTCAATATTTAGCTCTTCTCATATCAATAAGATGTTACAACATCAATAAAAGAAAATTGCATTTCTTTTTAATTTTATTTAATTTTAAATAGGCAATATATTCACATGGTTTAAAATTTAAAAGTCATAAAAGAGTATTCACAGAAAATTCTCCCTTTAACCTTATCTTCCAGCCACTGAGGTTCATTTCTTGGAAAGCACAGTGCCCATTATTCCTGGAGTGTCCTTCCAGCATTAGACTATGCTACTCATACAGAAATCTACTATCTATATAGATAGATATGCTCTGGCTGGTGGCAGAATGAAATGTAAGAGGGATGTGAAGTATAAGAAGGATTCAATGTTCTGTCTTTGAAGATGGAGGGGTGTCGGGGTCCTGCAGACCCTGCGGAGGTCTGTCCTGCAGACCTTTACTCAACGACAGATGAATAAATTCACTCACACAATATTCAGTGAATGAGTGGGCTGGGGTGTCTAGGCCACTCACAGACACTTGAGGAGAGTGCTGGAAAGAGATAGCAGCCATGGGCCTCTACATGTTGGCCTCACTGGCCTTTATTCCACACACATCAAATAACAAAGGCTTTGAGTCAACACCACTAGAGGACAGAGATTAAAGGCTAGGTTCCAAGGCCTAAAGCAAACACCATTAGTGAGTAATATCCCTGGTCTACCTCCCCGCTGAGAGAGCCATCTGGAGGGTTAGTTTATAGGACCACATGAGTAGACAAATTAGTTAGGT